ATATGAAAGTCTAACAGGTTTCATCAATATAACACATCAATCACTAGTCAATAACCTAGTCTAGAAACTGGAAACTTAAATTTAAACTTTAGGGTAACAATTATTACTTAATCTTAATGAAAATATAAAATATTAACAGTGTTTACCTTTTCCATAGAGAATAGCTGTCAACAGTTTAACTGTAGCACTGTTAGTGATAACACAACTTCGTTTTTTTACGTTGGTTAATTACAATAAAGTCTTTCTCTTTTCTGACTAGACCTAAAGAGTAAAAGAAAGTACTGAATAAATAAATACATTCCATTATACCTCTATACATATATCACTCAAATGTAAACCAATCAATTCTTTTTTCAAAGTTCTGACTATTCAAATTAATATTAACTTCTGATCATAGCAAGTTATCTATTTAATGCAAAACAAAATTAAATTACTAATGAATATAGATAATTGAGTATATTTTTCTTACATTCATATTTATAAAGATTAAATAGAACGAATTATTTCATCAGCTGGGTAACCCTGTTGTTAGTGTTAACAACTTAATCCTTAGGCCTTAAACTTACGAGGTTTGCCCATCGTAGCATTAGATGTAAGCTAGGCCTAAGACGATATAACATACAAGTACAAAATAATTTTAAATATAAGTCAAACAATAAAATCAGATATTTTACACATTCTAAACAATACTATTAATGGAAGTAATATAATAGAAATAATACAGTAATGACAAAATATTCTTCATGAACATCTAGTAAACTACAATAATATTAATACCCAACCATTATAGTTTATACTCTTCGTGAAGCTTCCATCAGCGGAAGTATGCTGGACGGCAGAGAATAACAAGAGGCTTGACAAAAGTACTCAATTTATTGTTTTTATATATATTTATTTATTGCTATAAAAGTAACTAAATTGTAAAAATTAGAAATTTATGTTAAGTAATAAATTAGAAATTAAATACACAAATTAAAATTCTGAGCGGCGTCTTCACGTGAGATGCTCGTGGATTACGTAATTTGAGTTGCGCAGTTTACGCGCAATTTGTTTTTTGTAGGAAGGATTAGTACCGAAACATGGTTCACAGAGAAATAAAATAAAATAGATGTGAAAAGGATAGAAGATTGAACATTTTAGGATAAATAATTGTAATTGTCTCTTAAAACCTGTAGTCATTCTACAAAGAACAAGAGTGATAACTTAGATTTACTTCATATTTTTTGTGGTGTTTACAAAGTAGGTCAAAAGGACTGATTCCATAAACGTTAAAGGGTAAAGAAAATAACAGACAAAATATGTTTTAAAGAAAAACTTGGGTATTAATTTATAAGGTTATACAAATTAAATTTGAAAACCGTAAGATAATAAATGTAGTTTTTAATCTTAAGATGAAAAGCACCTAGTCAGAATCAAACTGGCCCAGTACTCAATGTACATCTTCGCCCAGTAAAATCCTGAAGTATCATGTTCTACCAGAATGATCCAGTACTTAATGTACATCTTCATACAGTAAAAACATGAAAGGATCATGTTACACCAGAATGATCCAGTACTTAATGTACATCTTCACACAGCAAAAACCTGAAAGGATCATGTTACACCAGAATGATCCAGTACTTAATGTACATCTTCACACAGTATAAGCCTGAAAGGATCATGTTACTTGAAAGTATCATGTTCTACCAGAATGATCCAGTACTTAATGTACATCTTCATACAGTAAAATCCTGAAAGGATCATGTTACACCAGAATGATCCAGTACTTAATGTACATCTTCATACAGTAAAATCCTGAAAGGATCATGTTACACCAGAATGATCTAGTACTTAATGTACATCTTCATACAGTTAAAACCTGAAAGGATCATGTTACACCAGAATGATCCAGTACTTAATGTACATCTTCACACAGTATAAGCCTGAAAGGATCATGTTCCACCAGAATGATCCAGTACTTAAAATACATCTTCACACAGCAAAAACCTGAAAGGATCATGTTACACCAGAATGATCCAGTACTTAATGTACATCTTCACACAGTATAAGCCTGAAAGGATCATGTTACACCAGAATGATCCAGTACTTAAAATACATCTTCA